TGAGGGGGCATTGGGCAAAGAAAGAGCTGGAATAGAGAGACTCGTAATATCACAGATACTTAGTATGTCACGGATACATACAGCTTGAGAACAGATGGGTGAGAAGCACGAACTCGACATCATCATCTTTGCTTCATTCTGAGTCAAAACTCTGCAAAAGGCCTGACACAACGGCCACCGAGCCCCTGACCTAACAGCAGTAGAAATTGCACCCACCGATGTCAAGAACGGAGGCGACAATTTCTTTCAAAGAAGTTGCTCAAGAAAAGACTGTGGGGATTGAGGGTAATCACCCTCTGAGCCAGCCATTGAGCAAAGCCTGGCCATGCTTCGAAGGTGTTCACCCGATCAGCTTCCTCGAAAAAACGGCGATCCTGCCGATGACAGTGAGGAAAGGATTGACCAGGCTATAAGAATTTCATGCTTACCTCGCTTTCCTGCCGTGTGTCACGTTTATCGTGAGCATCCATCCAACGCCGAAATGGTTTGTGCCGACGGAGGAGCCGTTTGTGCTGAGCGTCGATTGGGTAGGCCGGGGGTACGATGGAGTTGGCGTTGAAGGTGGCGAACTCCGGACAGGGCTCGAATGGCCAGTTGGCGTCGTTTAGGATACCCCAGAAGGGACCCAGTAGTACGCGTCAACTTGAATCGATATCTGTTAGAGTGATAGTAGTGTTAGATGGTTACAAACCAATGAATAATTCGTTCGTTACCTCCTGTTCACTGCAAACGGAGCTATCCACTGTTTCGTCGGGTGAGGGCTCAAGCTTCAAAGGGGATCGCGTTGGATACACGAGGTTTGGAGTGGAGGGAGGCAGGCATGAGAGTCTTGATTCACGGTCCTCAGTTCCTGTGGATTTCGCATGGTGGGCCATTTGTTGGTAGATGACTGAAATGAGAGTCAAGTCATGCCCAGCCTGGGAAAGCGGCGTACCGAAGAATCCAGATTCAAAGCTTCAGCTTCAGGCCCAGGTCTTGTAGTGACCATCGTCAAAATTGACTTGGAGTGAGGTTGGTAGGAAGCGAGTGACGACTACGTAGTCCTACAGTAGACGGGCGCTCCTACTGACTGCTTTGTAAGCACCGCGGCACTACCCAGGTCTACTGACCCGCCGGCTACTATCGGGCAGAAACGCCTTTCCAGATGCACTGTCAAAGAATGACCACCCTGCTAGGATCGATGCGGGGCGTTAATAGACGTCGATAGCGGGAAACGGAATAAAAAACTTACGCAGGGTCACGTCAACCTCATCAGAACAGTCTCTGCCCCATTGATAAGCCTTCCCATTTTTGTGTCCCTCAGAATGCCCAGATGGTCGACCAACGGTGTTAGATGCTGATTTGTCGATCCGTGCAGCTGGATGAGTATCTGTCGGACATCATGCAGGTATCCATTCAAGAAACGAGGTGCGTCGGCAAGTGTCTCACAGATGCACACCTAGTCACAGACATGGGGAACACGGACCTCCTATGCCGTATCCATTTCCGGAGGCAGGACCGAACGACATCGAGGCAGGGTTGCCACACTTCAATTTCGAAAGGATGGTGAACACGGCAGGCGATGTATGATCGTCTGGGGGCAGATTGAGGTTGCCAGGCAGCTAGGGCTGGAGACAGCAATATAACCCGTAAAGGTGCCTACGAGAGAAAGCTGAGTAAAGATAGACCGCAATGGTAAACGACATTGGTACCTATCCAGCCCACTTTCTCATGAGCCTAGCATGATTTTCACATAACGCGATTTTCGCAAACCTTCTTGAAGGAAAAGACCTTCTTCGCAGAACTTGCTTCAGAATAGAATGTGTACATGGTGTGATCACATCAATCCAGAGTCTCAAAGGACGAGAAACCCTCCGGCCTTTGTGAACGCAACACTCAAGTTGAATCGACCTAATCGCCTCGGGGGGGCCTGGCGAAAAACAAAACTCATGACGATGTATCCATCCGCACCCGTATGTTCAAAATCGATTTCGGCAACACCATCCACACAAACGATGATTTGGAGCGGGGAGCAACTCCGTGACCAATGTCGAAGACGCTAAGCATGCACGCAACAGAGAGTCAGACTTGGGCGCCTGGGCTTCGGTCCGAAGAGACTGCCCACCTGATCATACGATCGGTTTGGTACACGGCGCCACTTGTTACCCTCCCTGCAAACTTTTAATAAGTAATCCCACATTCAAGTCGCTGCACAAATACACCGAGTCCTCCGGAGTGGCGTCTTCCAAGCACCGATAAGCAGCATGCCCTGATGTCCTTGCTCGATATGACGTGGAGGCCTGTAGAGGCCAGACCAAATCTTGCGACCCTCACTTGACAAACCGCCGCGCACCTGGAGCAGTCTCGGGTCGGTCCGCATCTACGACAATAGGCAAGTTGCGCAAAATTTCGCGTTCCGTTAAGACAGGAAGGTTGGCCGTCGAGATGTCTTTGTGAAGTCTCTGCGAAGAACATCTTAGTCTTAAAATTGAGGGAGAGTGTCGAAACAACGTACATTCCTAGGCATTCCAAATGCTTGATATTGATCCACGTCAAGTGATATCCCGCGAACAGTGTCAGGTTTGAGAAGGCCACTACGTAAATCAGGGAGGGAGGGAAAAGGTGCCCAGGGAAGTTGGCTGCGGCGATCCGGTGTAGGGTCATTCCCGGGTAACGTTATGGCTCATTGTCGAAGTGAGTCGTGACAATGAAACTCACGAACGAACGAAGGGCCAACGATGGGAGGCGAAAGGTATGACTCATGGACTCATACCTATAGTACAGTCGATTAGCTGCAATTGAATTCCCAAGATCAGATAGATGTCGTACCTGTCCTTATCCCATCCCCAGAGCATCGTTCTCTAAGAAATGTTCCTTCCCATCATACGAGCCCTCAAATACTTCCTGGAGGTTGGTTGTATTTTCAAGTGAAAAACCCCTGGAAGCTGATCCCGGTACAAGAATGTTCGACACGAATGTCTACTAACAAACGGCGGGGAATCATGCCTATTATTTAATTCCTATCTCGTTGCTCCTTTCGTGGTTGATCGTGGGCCAAATGTGGGCGAATTAAGTGCCGTTTTGAACGTTCTACCAAGGGGCTCCCCTCACGATGCCGCCCCCGTCTGTGGAGCGTTTAAGGTCAACTATCCTCAAAGAAATGCAAAAGAACACGTACAAAGACTGAATCATAGTAGATTCATACGTGTGGACTTCTGTAGGTTGTATTGCTGAATACTTGATCAGTAAGTAGTAGTTTAGACTCATTGGTCGGTGAATCTAGGACAGTCGATCAAGTTGAGTCTTGGGAGTTTGAGCGTTGGTGTGGACCGACTATTCTCGCCGTTTGGCAGATGGGAGCAGATATTGTCAGCATCACGGATAATTCCGACTGGAATTTTCTTTATTTTTGTCCCGCCAATCGCCCGCCAAGGCAAGGGATGGCAGAACCAATGGGCATAATTACAACACGCCAGTTTTTGTTACCACTTGCAACAAAAATCATCCGAATGGCGACCTCGAGTCGGACCGGCTTTGTCAGTGACCCAAATCTGACCCAGTCAAGTCAAGGGTCAAGTCAAGATCCTATGATTATCCTAGGCTTCTACCCATCATCGACGTGACCTTGAAATTTTTTGACTGACGCTTTTGCTTGACCTTCTTTTTTGACGGGGTCAACCCTGGTGAACCAGTTCATGACAACAATCCGGGGTGTGGAGATGTTGATGCAGTGGTATGTTGTGGGTCGCGTCAACGTCATTACCACAATCAGTCTTCTAACAGTGTTCAGGTGCGAGTCCAATGCTATTCCAAAAAGGTCTGGAATCCAATTGATCACATACCACTATAAACATTTTTTATGTAAGTAAAAAAAAAACACAAGAATGTCTACTAAACGTACAGCATGTTGCCGGGTTTTCCGGAAGATTAGTGATAGATTTTGGATGGACTTCTTACTATTACGAAACGATGACCTGGACCGAAACTGGACTGCAATCCATCGCAAGCGAGTAATGTGGATGACCAGTAACCGGGGAAAAGACTAGATCGAGCCTTCCATTTGCGGTATTATTCTTACATACGGAAAACGCGTCGGATTTGCCGCCGAAAGCGAGGAGCGGGGGATTTCCAGTTGCACCAGCGACGTCTTGCTGAAAAAGCGCAAAAACATCATGTGAATTTTCTTGGTCGATAAAGGGAGACAAGCGAACCAACCATGGTGCAGTACGATTGCGATCCCGGGAAAGCAGGTATGGATGCAACAAAGTTCGGCGACTCTCCGTCCCTGGGCGCGGTGGACGACATCACCTGAGCTACAATATTACTTGACTTGGGAAATACGATCGAATTCTCCATCGTGAAAGATGGCCATTCGGAGCAACAAGTAGGGCAAACCTGCAGCGGGGAATGAACATCAAACAAGCAAATGTAGACCGCCACCCACGGAAAGCACCGTCCAAATGATGTTTGATGACATCTCGACCACCACAACTTTTAAATCGACGAAACTGGGACCGGTCGTGGGGGGGTTTTTGAACTGCGCCACCAGCTTGAAATCAGACAGACCCGTCAATAGGCATGGTGTGGATCCCGAAGCCGTTCCTGTGTTGCTGAAATGGTATACTGCGACGCGGTTCGCGTTTCCACAAAACTCGGTGTGGGTGGCTTGACATACCATGCGGCAGTCATTGTCGGACGTACGTTGTGCTGGGTTGTTGATTACGTTGTCACACCCTTGTAAATTTGAATCAATTGGTCAAGAAGATAGATACGACCGTCGACGAGAACGGGAACATACAACACTCGTGCCCATTTTCCAAACCCGCGTTCATGAACCCACCAGCAGCCGCACAGGCTGCAGTACATGACTCAGCAGTGGTACCTCCAGGAATGTTCACACCGGTTCTCAGAGTTCGCGCCGCCGTGCTATCCCTGTGTCGTGTTGTGAGTAAAGGCTTGGCTGAGGATACTGCAGAAAGCACACACGTGAAGCATCCCTGATAGTGCCACATCCCCGTCGTTGTATTAACACTCTGTACAATCACTGGGGGTGGCTTGCCATTGTTAAAGATGTTTAACCTATTGGCACCGCCGCAGGTCTCATTTGCATTTCCGCTGCATGCAATGTTACACTCTGCAACTGGTGCTGCTTGACTCGGGATTTGCAGGGCGGAGTCACAATCTAAAACACGAATTTAATATTTTTTTCCCATAAAAGTGGAAAGAAAGTGTACTAACAACATTCCTAGGAATAGAAGAAATTCATCCGCGATTGAAACATAGAAAAAGTACAGCTAGAATCAATAACTTACGCCTGGGCAATTTGTTGCACATCAGAATCCTTAAGGTGGACGTTCAGGTCGACTCACTACCGAATTCGACACCGGCAAAGATGTAATCAGCTGCGCCACAAATGTTGACGCAAGTTTCAATGGTCATTAAATCGCGGACCACTGAGATGGCTGTAAGAGTCCGCGAAGTTGATATATCGCTGTAGTTACGGAGCTTTGAGCAGATAATGATGTTTCTTCTGGAACTTCACTCACGTGAAGCATCCAACAGAAGTCCAATTCGTCGATACGATGGAAGAAATAGACTGCGTCGAAACGCCCTGGAAGGTAACAAACAATCAGTAAGTCTTCTCGTCAAGCCCAATGAACCAAAGAGCTTACAGGAAATATAAGCGTTAACGCGCAAGCCACAACGCAAAACCTAAACCTCATTATGAAAGGTAATTTCGCTTGAACCTGAATCATTGGTCAGAACGACGGGGTGAAAGTAAGACCCCAAGCTCAACTATTTATGCCACCTGAAGCTCGAGAAGTCAGATAGGCTAAAGCCAGGAGCGCATCTTGAGGGATTTGATGCGAGGCCATGTACGCAGGGCACATCGCGTTTTGATCATCGAGCATCCAATGAGCTGATATGCGTTTTCCCATCAGGAGCTGCGCGTAACTGAATGGATTTTGGGAAGATGTAAACCTTGATAAGGCGTCGGCCAAGTGACAGCGGCCTGATTGAAATAAGGTGCATGAGCCTCCAAGATGCCTGTACCTAAGTAATTCGGGTTGTATCAGTGCTTGTGTGCTTCCCTGCCATCGCTCATGTGCTTTGTACTTCATCTGAGTGCCTGAGAGACCTGGAGAATAGCCGCATGGCAAACGTCGCCATAAATGTCCAAACCTGACTCACATAAACCATACGGGATGTGGTAGGTCAGCCACCCACGTATCGCCAGATTTATAACGTACACATCTCTGGAGAAAATCGTGATAATCTCCACTTTTTAGATATGGTGTCACTTACTTTGCCGCACCAAAGAATTTAGTGAAATATACTCATCCCAGAATGAAAAGTGAACCATGGAAATCCTGGCCTAGAAGGTCTTTTGTCGTGGAGTTGCCTACAATGGCGTAGGCTTCATTGTCCATTCCTATGAGCGATCAGGGTAATAAATTAATAAAGTTTGAACTCAAGTTTAATTCTCACGGTCACGGTAAAGTCGAGTTTATTCCATAATGAACATACTTAGCGCCGTTTCGGATCGTGACTTTGTTTTCCAGATTAATGGTGAGTATTATTGTGCAAATGTCATGGTTATAACTTGTCGAGATACTAATATAAACTTCACCTAGACTCCTAGAGATCAATGACCATAATGAAACGACATCGTTCGAAAACCGGGTCTCCTGGCAGGTCAATGATTCCACTGCTTCAAGCAAGGACCAATGCTTTACACTTATCCCCGTGACGCTTCAAGCTATATTTCGTTGCAAAAAGCTTGCCGCAATCATCGCATTGGTTCTTAATCCCATAGTGCGAGTTCATGTGGTCTGTAGGGGCACGATAAGTCGAAGAAGACTCCAGTAACGTACCACCTTACTGGTCAGGTTATGCTTCGCGGTTATATTTGCTCTGCACAGCGTACAAACGAACCTCCCTGGTTGGTTCTGATCTTTTCTTCGGGCCTTCGTCGCAGCAGTCACCCCTCGGGATCCCACTACGGATCGTTTGACCTCAAGCGCTTGGCCTGGGATGCCACGTGAATGGCCCATGTTTTCCTGGTGATCATTGCGGCTCGCACACGCTCTATCGTTCGGATCATGATAGGTATTCGCCTCGTTGCTAACACTACTTCCAGCCCATGGTTGAGGACTATCAAGAAAGTCGAGGAACCTCATGCGCTGCATTCTGGAATCATATCTACTGCTCGATGATGTCGCTGGAGCGTCGAGACCGACTTGAAAACTCATGAAATTTGAATTATCCATAAGGTCTTGAGCACGGTCAAATTGATCGAGAGCATGGTTGTGGAGAGTCAAAACCGGCAAAGCTGCGGTGTATGTGGAAGGGAAAACTACATCACGAAGAGCTACCACCATGAGTGGGCAATGATTTATCGGTGCGTTGACTTCATATTGCTCCGCCTTAAATTTATGGGTAAAGGCTATCAATGATGTAGATGTAGCAGAGACGAACCAGGGAGTCGGGCGCCATTATCCGGGCTGTACGGAGGTGTGCCTCCATGGAGCCTCCTCGCTTACTGTCGGCACTTCCCTGTGAAATCGTATGGCTGTTGTCTACTGACCAGTCTTCGCCATGAACGAAGGGGTCGAGAAGATCTATAAGCCGCGTTTCAGAGTCGTCGGGATCTTCACGCATTCGGTATGTGGTTCGTGACAGTTCAAAAATGAAGACTCACCTGATTCTACCCATAGCAAATTTTTTGCTTCGTGGCACTGAAGCGGAAAGTTTGGGTTGGGGATTGGTTGCATAGCATGAGGGAGTTGCATAGTATTAAAGTCGCTGGGTCTTTCAGCGCTTGGCTGCTGCGACATGACTGTAGGGGGAAAACTGGAGAGGTAAGGCAAGCTCATTCCAACATGCCTGACTTTATGCGAGCTAAGTTAGGTTATTACTGAGATGTGTAGGCAATGGGAGACGCAGAGGTAAATTATTAATTTAAAACCCTCAGATTTAGACGTGTTGTTGATGGACTGCTCGAGAATGGGCAAAAGTTTTGGAGTCAGGGAAGGGATGGACCGGCTAGATTCATTCATAATATCAAGCGCCCGGCTCACTTTCCAAGTTCGTCACACAATTGACGCCCGTCGCTTCACCACAAAATTCTGCATGCGTCTGTCAAGTACCTGAAGATATTTTCAACCCCTCGTAGTGTTGTTCAAATATTTTAGCTCACAGCGCACGCCACACGGCCTCGTCGAGACTCAGCAACCGAGCAGAAGCGTGCAAGAGATCGGATTTCTGGACACCCCAGTCACCCCGCGTGTTCTCTTGACACATCAAGGGTCCGGTGATTTTTTATCTACCGCGACTTTTTGTCGTTAACGTGAGTATCGTCCATTTCATATCGGACAGAAAGCTGAAGGATCGCTATGGCATTTGATCATGTTGTTATTCATGCCCTTTCAAACTCGCAATTCTCACATCTCTTACGCAAGAGTCGATCAATTCCAACCAGGTACATTTTCGCGGACTCACTGGCAATGGCTTAACTCTCAAACTGTTGAACAACTGACACGATTTTTATGCACGGACATTCTAAAAAGGCAAGAGTTATCAAGGACAGACAAACTTGTGGCCATTTGACTAAAAATATCCGCCTCCATAGCTGGAATTCTATCACCTGCATTCAAATTTTGGAAAACGTCTACTGCATGGCATATCATTACGTTTGTAAGTTCCGAAACATGTGGACTTTCCTGTTGGTTTTCAAGAGGGAGGTTAATCTAATACATACCGATATCGTTACTTGTCCCTTCCCTGAGAAACGTTTTCGTCGCGAGGCGGTCCATAGATTTCATGAAGGAACTACTTCCTATTTTTTTTCATAAAGGGACCTTGCCGCGGCCTTCAAGTTTATAACTTATCATCACATCTCGACCATGGCGCCTCTGATCGTCGTCATGGCTCAAGCTCAAGCGCTCAAGTCTTCTCGCTGTTCGGTTACTATCATTAATTTTATATGCTCAAACACAAAAATTGTTGTAACAGGGGGGTACCATCGGATGTCGTTGCGGCCCGGGGCAACAGATGAAGCGCATGGCTTCGACTCCCTTCGTGTTTCCGATAACGGAAAGAATTTGCGGGCTCGGCATACAATAATTAACCGCACCACGCGATGGAGGTTGAAAGAGCTACATATTGTTCCGGACTTCTCAGGAATCCCACTTTCTACCGACAGTGCACGACAGCCTCAGGGGTCACGGTTGGGTCACGGCCAAGGCCAAATCTAATCTATCTAATATATAAAGAGAGGACGGTTGACAGTTGTTACGTAATAGATCATGTAAGCAGCCTCTTTGTCCTTTACTGAGCCGCGTCAGCGGCGTTTCCCGGGAATGTCACACGGTGTGACCACAACCACAGAACATTTTGTATTGGTAGCTCCCAACCTCATTCTGTAATAGTAAGATCCTGCATTAATTTTTTGTGAGTGTTTTTGTGGTCACACCTCTCTGAGCAGCCTCAATTTCGCTTTTTCTGTACTATTTTTTACCCCCCACTTCATTGTTAGTGTATATTTCTCCTACTTTGAGATCTATGCTGATTAAATTTCAGGTGGATTTTAGTTGCTCTACAGATTTTCATCAGTGGCCTACTCAACTGTAATTTATGGTGCATGGTATAGTGTTGAAAAATCAAAAATTATGGCCAGCTTTGTACTGCTGACTGCAGTTACAGTACCAAATGTAGGACTATATAAGTGTGGATCTAAATGTAACTTTGATGATTTGGATTAGAATAAAAATTTGAATGAGGGCAGGTTAACTTTGATGATTAAGATAAAATGAACTGGGATTGAACATATGCACTGGGAGGTCCAGGGGGCTTGCCCTGACAAGCTGGCCAAGTGCAGCCAGGGCTGCTGCAGGTTAAAGTGTATTTTTGAAAATTTCAAATAAAGTGTAAGTACCAAAACAGGGATTAGTATAACTTTGAGAAACATGTACACCACAGCTATCAGATTTTTATGAGATAGTCCAAGGGACTTCCCTTTGGCAAGCTGGCCAACTGCAGTGAGTGCCAAACCATAGGTGCAGGTCAGAGCATAATTTTAAAATTTCAAATTTAATAAGATGAAAGTACCAGAAGCTGGGGTTTTAGTGGGTATGAGAGTAGGGTGGCCTCCAGGCTGCAACTGCTAGCTTTACACAATGTGGCTGCTCTGAGTCCCACACTGCTCCAGTGTGAGCCTGCCTAGCCACAATTCCTTGGGGTGAGTTGACATTCTTCCAACAGGGTGCAATCCCCTGTCCTTGATGCTTGCGCACAAGGATAACACTGTTAACTGTTGTATGCTACATAGCTTCACCAAAAAAAAAAAAAGAGAGATTGAAAATGTGCACCAGAACTGGAATAAACATATGTACTGGGGGGGACAGCTTGCCTCAGGCATGGCCAAGCGAAGTGATTGCTGTGTCCAGGTCTAAGCCTAACATTGATGATTCAGATGAAAGATATACACTAGATCTGGAATAAAGAATATGTATCAGAATGGAGATTGAATATGTGTACCAGAAATGGGATTAAACATGTGCACTGGAACTGGGATAAAAGATGTGTACCAAAACTGGAATTAAACATGTGTACTGGGGGTCCACACCATAGGTGCAGAAACTGTAACTTTGAGCAACATGTACACCACAACTGTTATATTAGTGGAATGCAGAGTTGACGTGGTGGCCACAACACTATGCTTTTTTTCACCACACAACAACTTTCCTTAGTGAATCAACTCCAACAGGTAAATGCCCTCACTACAACTGACCATTGACACACCTGCTACAGCTTTGACTGAGTTTCAAATCCCTGATGGCCACATGGCATGCTCTGTACATACCAGATCTTTTACATTGAGGAACACCATAAAATTCCCAAAATGTGTGAAAATTTCAATCTCTTTCTTACTGAATGGTATCTTTGTTATGTAGAAATTAGGTATGGCATCACATATAGAGGTAATTTAACAGGAAAGTATGTCTCAATTTGAAGTCTGCCCCAAGTCTGCCTGATTGGTTAGGCCCTCGAGACAGAAAGCAATACAAAGTCCAACTTTCACAGATTTTCGGTATTGTGGGATTTAGTAGTCTCGTGCCCATCCGTTGTGGAGAGTGAGCGGCCCGCCAGACCGTCGGAGTGTGAAAACACACTGCAGAACACTCTCCACAACGTCTGGTGCAATTGGTAGGGCGAACCTACGGTCGAGTCACAGCGTGACAAAATGTAACAACTTTTCACGTAGAGTTTGCATAGAGTAGGGAGCAATATCAACACAGTTTACAAGCATTGGACCTGTTACAAACTATATTTCTATGTGTAATGGTAAGTACATGTGAGCTATGTTATAATCTGGTAGCCAGCTCGGAGGGAAGGGACATGTGG